ATCTGTTCTTCCCCATGCGGGTCAGCTAGGCTCCCACCGGATAGAATCTCATGTGTCTTCTGGATACAGGTGCATCAGCTTCTTGGCAGACTCTACCCGGAAGTGAAATCAATTGGCTTTTTGCATGTAAAACATTCCCATGTTTGGCTTCTAGCTCACTCAGGTGTGTGATTAATCTAGTCTCCTATGTGCTCTGTTCTTCCTTCCCCAACTTCTTCCCAACACAGCACTGTCCAGCTTTCTAGAAGATGGGCCGGCAGTCTGTGGATAGAGAGGATGAGAGATATCTTGTGCCTGATTTCTATGCCGCCAGTTCCTAATTGGGTTGATTATCTTCTTATCTGTTTAGTGGATATCCGTTCTTGAATTTTCCAGTGTATTAGCTATACATACATTTGTTGATCTCTCTCCTATTTGACTTGTAGAGAATGTGTAGGGTTTATGTACAGTTCTAGAAACTAAACCTTTGTAAGTCATAGGCATCGCAAGTATCCCATCACAGGAAATGATTTGTGTTTTGATTTGGCTATGGTGTTTGTGCCTTTGTTTATATTTTTATCACTAGGTAATTTTGTCATCTCCATCTTTAAAATTTGTGTACTTATATGACATTGACTTACAGCACTATCTATAATTCAGAATCACAGATCTTTACCTCTTCAGAAGCACATCATCACACCGCACCTGCCTCAGAAGCACACCAGTCCTCCACCACAGTCCATGGGGACCCCTCTCACTTTCCCTCTCCATCCTCCCTCTCCCGCTGATAGCCTCAGTATTAGTCAGATACTGGGGTTTGTTTCTGGTTTCTTATGGCCTGACTCTGTTTGGTCTCTGTAGTTCCACCTGTGACCAGTGTCATCTGGTATTTATCTTTCTTCTTCTGGCCTAGTTTATTTAGCTTGTCACACGTGGCAAGAGTCCATCTTTTTTTTTTTTTTTTTTTGTGTTTGTTTTCTTGTGTGTGTGTGTGTGTGTGTGCGCGCACAGGCACCCACCCAATACACCCACCCACATATACCCCCCGCACATACACATCTTCTTAATCCATTCCACTGTTGTGGGCTCTTGGGTTGTTTCCATAATTTTTCTGTTGTAAGTAGTGCTGCAGTGAACAGAGACATGCATAGATCCCGTCTTATTGGTGTTTTGCATTATTCAGGTAGACACTAAGAGTGGAATTGTGGGCCCTCCCTGGGGGCGCAGCGGGTTAATGCACGCACTGAGAATCTAAAGCCACTTCTGCATGAGTTCGATCCCCCCCTGCCCCAGAGGTGACCACAGGGCGCGGCAGACCTCTCCTGACCCGCCCGCTGCTCCCCTCAGCAGTGTACTTCGTCCATCTGCCTGTTCTGCTCCCTGCTCTGTCTCTGGTGAAGCCTCTCACTGCCCCTGAGCCTCTGGCCTGCACCCCAGTTCTGTATGCACAAATAAATAAATCTTTAAAAAAAAAAAAAAGTGGAATTGCTGGATCATACAGTACCTTCATTTTTACCATTTTGAGACGCCTGTATGCTGTGTTTCTTGAGGGCTGCCTACAGCGATGGTAGGAGATCCCCCTTTTCTCCACACTCTCCACAGCCCTTGTTCCTGGATTTTTTTGGTTTTCAGCTATTCTCACAGCATGAGGTGGTATCTCATTGTGGTTTGGGTTTGGTTTCCCTGGTGATCAGCGATGAGCTCTTTTCACGTGCCTGTCGGCCATCTGTGTGTCTTCTTTGGAGAATTCCCATTTCCTACTTGGCTTTTTATTTTGCTTTTGTTGATTCCTATGAGACCTGTGTAGATCTCGGTGTGGATGATGTACAAATATTTTCTCCCATTTACTTGGGCGCATTTGCTTTTAATGATCATATCTTTCACTACTTAGAAGCTTTTTGGTCTTTGATGTCATCCCAATTTTTTTACTCTGGCTTTTGTTTCCCTCGATGTAGGGAGTCCGTGTTGATTTGTGAGTAGGATGGTAGTTCAGAGCGGAGGTTCCAGAGCCCAGAGTCAGAATCCCCATTCTTCTACTTGCTGACTCTGGCAACTCTAGAAAGCAACTTGGCATCTTTTTATCTCTGCTTTATTATCTGCAATATAGGGAAATATTGCCTCCCTCAGAAGTTTTGACATGCAGATTAACACCGGTTAGACTATTTCCTGCTATAAAGTGAGCGCTCTTTGAGTTTTAGTTATCAGAATTTGTCCTTTAAATATGTCACTTTTAGAACTCTTTCCTGACATTTCCAATTCCAATTCATGTACATATTTATGTATGTTTACAGGTTAAATGTTACTTATGACACTCTGCTATAAATATTTATTTTTCTTGCAGTAAATGGCGTCTGGACCTTACACCTAGTATGAATAAATACGTATAGAATAATAAAAATTGCACTATATTTTTATTAACTATCATTCTTCAGAGGTGATTTCTCTTTCAAGAATTAGCATTCCTCTAGAGATAGAGTGGGGAACAGAACAGGTGGACTGACAGAAACACTCTGCTGAGGGGAGCAGGAGAGGACTGCTACACCCTGTGGTCAGTTCCCTGGTCCGGTCCAACTGTGCTGCAGTGGCCGCCCGAAGCTTTAACCCCTGTGCCCCCAGGGAGGCCCCTTGATGGTGAATTCTGAGAGGAGCTGTGGTTTGCACCCCTGAAGAGTTCCTAGATGAATCCCGCGGTGAAGCCCCTCCACCCAGAGAGCTATGTGGCTACTGTGAGTTGAAAGCCCTGGTCTGCAGGAAGCACTTAATAAAAGTGTGCATTAGTGAAAGGAAGGGAGAACCATAGCGATAGTAAGGAATCTTAGAAAGTGTAACATGAGGACATTTTTTCATTGCTTCCGAAAAAAGGGTGTCAGCTTTCCAGGGACGCCATAACAAACTGTATAAACCAGAGTGGCTTGAAACAAAAGGAATGAATTCTCTCCCATCCGGGAGAATAGGCGCTGGAAGTGAGAACTTAGTCTGTTCCGTCCTCGCCTCCTGGGCTCTGACAGCGCAGGTGACCTTGTCTCTCCAGCCTCTGCCGAGGCCTGCGGCTTCTCTGTGTCTCTTTCCTCTTCTGTCTCATACACGGAGACTCGTCGTTGGGCTTACGGTATTATCTGGAGGTCTTTAATTATACCTGCAAACATCCTTTTTCCAATAAATGACCACCATGCTCGCTTTCTGGCAATGTCATGCGCACCTGTTGTGGAGGGCGGGCACCTGTCTCACTGAAAGCCAAGAGCTCTCCCTGAACCGCTGTGAAGCCTGCTTGGTCAGTGAACATGGCCTGCCTTTTCCAAAGAAACACTGATTTTAGGATCAGGTTTCTGTTTTAAGTGTTAAATTTTGTAGTTAGATGGTACTATTGTATAACATTGTTATTTTGGATGCAAAAAACTGAACTTAGAATGTTACCTTTTCATTCATTAATTCTGTCTATAGCACTCAGCATTTAAAGCCATTTTCTAGTTTGATATAACAGGTTGACTGAGAACCTGTAAAAGCCTCATATCTCTTAAGGGACTAGTCTTGTATTCATTTGCATCAATCATGGCTTTTTTGAATACTGATTTGTTGCAGAATTCCCTTTTATCCCCCCAAATGCATTCAGAAGTCATCTTTAAAGTACAGATTAAAAGTCTAAAATCCACTAGCTGTTGTGAAGCTAATCAACTATTCATAGAAACTGCTTGATCTGAGTCAAAAATCTAGAGAAATGACTGACAAATATGTTCTCAAAATGGTGACTGTCTCAGGAACTGGCATGGAGGTGTCTCCCCATTATTGCCTTCTAGAAGGACGCCTCTCAGAGTGTTGGCGTACGTATTGAAAGAGCTGTTCATAGTTGGAAAGTGCATATGTTTCACAAAAGTATACATTCCGTATCAATTTAACATAATAAAGTATTCTTTGGTTATTAATAGCAACTTAACTTCTAATGAAGAACAAATTGATATTATATTGATCTATCTATATATTTAAATCAATCATCTAAAATAAATCTATGTCATGCCCCTCAGCCCTGGGCAAACATTAATGCATGTGCATTGCAGAATGGGCCAAAGGCCTTGTGTTGTGCCTGTTTTAAATATAAAGTACCTTGAAATAAAGAAATGTGGGAAGAATCTGTGTTGTCTGCGTGCACCGTCTGCTGGGCCCTTGCATGTCTTGTGTATGAACAGCCCTTTCTTCCCGGGTCATTTTATAAGAGGAGCTTGCAAGGGAGGATTTGGGAATTGTATATTGCATCAGTAGTAAAGTGTTCTAATTTTACTTTTTAAAGATTTATTTATTGATGCATACAGAAGCAGGGTACAGGCCAGAGGTACAGGGGCGGTGAGAGGCTTCACCAGAGACAGCGGGGAGCAGAACAGGCCGACTGATGAAGTCTACTGCTGAGGGCAGCAGCAGGGAGACAGGAGAGGTCTCCCGGGCTATGCGGGTCACCTCTGGGACTGGGGGCTGAACTCACACTGAAGAGGCCACAGCCAGCTTGCAGCGCTGCATCCTAACCTGTTGTGCCACCAGGGAGGGTCCTAAAGTGTTTTAATTTTAAGATACTTAATTTAAACTATAGTAACCAACTAAAGTAACGGCTCACATGATAGGTTAGGGAGATCTAGACTTAACTTCTTTATAATTAAAAGGTGAAGGTTATTTCTGTATTACCCTGCCTTACAAAGCTTACACTAAGTACCCAAACTTGAATTTTAAAATAAATAAAATATAGAGATGCTATTATAAGGAATAAGGCAATAGATTGGAGTTTGCAAAAAAGCAAAAGAATGAACTGCTCCTCTGAACGTTGCTGAGCGATCTCATGTATAGCATCTTAGCACCTGTGAATCAAGAGCTGGCCATCCAAAAAGCTAAGGCTGTAGCAATCGGGATCTCTTTTCTCTAGGAAATTAGGGAAGTTCCCTGGAGCCATGCTGATGCCCTAATGCGTCTTTGTGTCTGATAGTCTAGGGGCCTTTGGTTTCCAACCAGCGCATTATACCTGTGTATTCTCTTTTTTACAGTTCAACAGAAGAGCAGTTTCACTGGCAATCACAAGGTAAAGTACAGCTTCTTGATGAACACACCTGCCTCCACCTGCCTCTCCGCTGATTAGTCCTCTTGGGAACGTTCAAAGGGGCTTCTCGACATGAGCACAGTAGCACCATGACACTGAATTTGATGAGGTTGTTTCATAGCGCCCGTGTCATGGAAGTTAAGTTCTCTCTAATCCCAAGAAACTTAATGCTTTTCATGGACACATGGAATTGGCTGGTCTTGTCTTTCCAAACTGTTAGCCAAGGGTGGCCATGTCATAGCTAATGTAAACTTCACAGAGTAATACCTTTGGTTAGACACTTTAGATTATTAAAGGATAGCCTTAAGCTGTAATGTTACCATTATCATGTGTTTGCTCATCACTTTAAAATGGTGTATTTCAGATGGTCAAAAAGACATCGAAGATGAACTTACAACAGGCCTGGAGCTGGTGGATTCCTGTATTAGATCTCTGCAGGAATCAGGAATACTTGACCCGCAGGATTATTCAACAAGCGAAAGTAAGTTAAATGCCAGTTGTGCTTGAAGACAATTAAAATACATACGTTTAATGCCATTATTTTTTCTTATATAATCAATATCATGAGCCATACCCTGTAGGGCTTGAAGATATGATTATGCTCTTTTTCTGCATCTCACTGCACTCTCCACCTCCTTCCCACCTCCCCGCCACCCCCCACCCCAACACATACACACAACTTATATTAGATCGCGAGTTCTCTGAAATCAGCAATTGGCACCTAGATGCCTCATGCGTTGCTACCATATTGGTGACCCTCACCAATTTTCTAGTCTTTTTTGGTGTCTAGACTAGCATTGTATGAACTCACACTTATATTCCTCAATCAATAGAACAGCTGCTTTAAAATTAGCTGGCAGTGGTTTCTTCACACAGCACATTGTTGACAGGTATCTTGAGTCATGACTGTATGACAAAACTTAAACAATTGTGATATTATAGATAGTACAAAATATTTAGTGCTATGCTGTAGCACTGGCACTAACACCTTATATTTCTGTATTTCATCATCTTGCATTGCTGTATCAGAATACTTAGAGATTTCTTTATCTCTATTTAAATATATTTTTTTCAGTCAGACTGGTTGAGGCTGAGAAATAAAAGTGCCAGAAATTGAAATGAGCCTCATTTTAATAAATCATAAAATTCTCTTGGCTTATTTTAATAAAACTCCACAAAACGCCAAAAATTAAATCATTGGAACATACATTACCCTGATGATTTCTACATCAGAAATCAGTGGAGCATTTTATTTCTTAATTTAAAAAATGAAATGCCCTTAAATAACTATCAAGCTTTGCTATATAAAGGGAAGATACAAGAACAGGATAACATACTGATCCTGAAATTAAGTTACATTTGCTTTCTAATCTTTAAAAATGCCACAACTTTTAGAATAACATTATCATGAACATATGCTTCCACCCATAAACATCCCCCCAATAGGCCTCCTCAATTAAGATATATGATTTATATTATCTTTGTTTTCTATTATATTTAAAATGCAGAATTTTTTATTATATTTCCCATGTAAGATGGTTGTAGCTAGAATCATGTTTAACTAATATTTGAAATAATGAAAAGACAAGTAATATTTCTCACTTTATCAGAGTAAGAAAGCAAAGTAGAGTTTAGGACCGTGTACGCTGATAAGGTGATGACAGAGAAGACCTTATTTTTTATATAGTAATAGATAAATACATCTGATTATGAGGTAAGGAAAAAGATATCTGTTAATACATGTAAAGCACAGAAAAAAGAAGGAAGAGTAAACAAAGTAACAAATTAGTTAACATAGAAATATATCAATCTCTCATTGCAGGGTCCTATAATGTTTTATTCTTTGAAGGGAGTGAACATTCAGGTTTATAGCAAGAAAAGTAAAAGTGGTGAGACATTTAGAGTAATGAAATAAATGTTGAAATTAAAGGAATAGAAAAATTATGACAGCAAATACAATGAATAGAAAGAATGATATTGGGAAGAAGAAAGAGGAATTTAATGTACTAAGCAAGGTCAAAGAGGAATTATGTAGTGAAAATGTCTTAGCTCACAAAGATGCAATAAATACTAAAATACAGTGAACATGTATGTACTAAATATTATAGCATGTGAATATTAAAACATTGTTGAAATGAATGGAAAATTTGATGAAAAATATAATTGTGAATATTTCATTGTACATTTCTCATAGTCAGAGAAATACTAGAAGACCACAGGAAGTTAGAATTTATAACTAACAAATCAATGTATTAATAAATTTTAAGTTTAATTTTATGATTATATATATATGTGTGTTTCACACATATATGTTAAGGGGAAAACTACAGATATTGATTAGCAACTAGACAGTAAAGACTCCTAAAAATTAAAGAAAGCTCACATTCTTTGACAAAATTAAAAGTATATAATAAGTTGATAAGCAGAAGTAAAATATCATTAAAATTAAGAAATATTTATATATCTACTAAGTCAATGTAGAAGCAAAATTAAAAATTGCATATTATTTTAAAAGCAGATAAATAGCAACACTTCATGAAAATGTAATGGTATAGAAAAACTACACTCAGAGGAATTCTTAATTTTGTTATTAAAATTAGAAAACAAAGTAAGTGAATGTAGTATTCAGATTTTTGAATACTAAGAGCAGCTAAACAAACTGAAAGAAACTAGGAAGATGGTTATAATAAAAGCAGTGCAGACATAAAGTAATATGAGAGAAAATAACAGAAGAGATAAATAAAAAAATCAGTAAGTACCAGGAAAGATTAAATCAATAAAATAACTAAAATAACTAAAAGCTTATAAATATATAAGCTTTTTAAAACTTTGCCAGCTAATACTTCTGTACTTCTTAATTGAGATCCTTTGCTATATGTATTTCCCTGCAACGTGTGTTCAAATCTTATCCATCAAAAAGTGCATCTTTATAACTAGAAAGTTTTTTGGAATACATGCCATGTCTGTTGAATTTGTTTTTTCTTTCAGAAAGTTGGTCCATGTAAATATATACTATATTATCTTTTTAAGGCTCCTAAAATCTTAGTTTTCTTTTTGTAAATCTGCCCTTCTGTATTTAAAGTTAAGAAACAAAACAAGCAAACAAGAGATGAAAGAAATGTCAGGCTAATCATTTTCAATAGTCACTTCGAGACTAAAATTGAGTGAAATTATGATAATACTTCTAAAAGTTTGAGTCTGTCATTTGAGTGGGTCAACTCTGGCGTATTTTAAATATTTAGCTGCTCACAAAATAAAAATCTCTATAGCTGTTTGTATTTGTCTCAGGGTCTGTGTGGGAACTAGATTCCACTGTAAAGCGTTTAACTAAAGAGAATTCACTAACAGGGCTATGTACAAGGGAGCGGACGTGTGAAGGGAAAGAGCCTCAGAAGTGGCAAGATGGCAGCCCTTGACTCTTGGTCCTGAAGGAGACCTGAGGGACTCGCACCAGCAGAGCCCAGAGTCATGGCCAGAGCAGAAGAATAAATACCCTAATCACTCTTTCCTCCTCGCGCCTAAGGTCCTTCTCAGGTCCTCTACCCACAAGTCCACTCAGTCCTGAAGCCAGGGGCCAAGGTCTCTCAACGATAGTTTGTTGAGGAAAGGGCAGAGAATGAAGATGGGGGCAGAGTCAATAATTCAGCACAGATTCCACTGAATAGTAGAGCAGCTACTGTTTACGTTCTTGATGTATAAATATAATAAATAGATGTGTCATGGCTTCTTGACACATTTCATATAATTAGTACAAACCCATCAGATTCTTCTAGACCCTTGTTTTTGTGATTATCCGATCAATGGATTCATTAGCTGGAGCAGACATGAAATAGCTGAAGCTAAATTAGACCTGGCATGCTGCCCTTGAGAGCCAGCCTCGTAGTCCTAACCCAACAGACTAAAGCAGCCCTAAATACTAAGTACACAGTGTTACCCGCCTGCACCCCAAGCTCATTGAACTTAATTTGTTGCATTTGAAAACTTCTGTTGTTTTTCTTCCCAAGGTAAACTTTGCTTCTTACTGTAAACCAGTCCCCTCCTGTACTGTGATGCAAGTAGTTGCTGCTCCACGCAATGCCTTCCGCGTGTCACACAGAGATCAATGTTCCTACACTTTGCTGTTTTCGAAAAGTGCTGTTCTAAACAGTATGTAAATCGTGTGTGCGACCTCTGCCACCCCACCATTATTTTGCAACTGCCAATTGTGTCACTTCAATTTTAACAAATATGTGTCACACAGTCACTTGGAGAATTGCTACTGCTGTGCTGGAAAAAAAAATACTGACAGACGCTCGGGGCCATTAGCTTCTTGAATAATGCACGGCTTGACCTGAAAACTCCTGTGGACCACGCACCTTACTGAATCCATGCATCCTTGGCACATTAACTCAGATACGGGTGATTCTACCTTAGCCGATAATTAACACAAATATCGTCAATCAAAATCAGAACCAAAATGGGCGACCTGGGAGGAATAAACCTAGGTGTTTATGAAAATTGTTAATATTTTGACATAATGATTTTTTTCTTTCAGTAGCATATTGACAAATGGATATTCCACTATAGTCTAGAAAATCCTAGTATTCAGGAGGAAGAAAATCTTAGGAGCTTAATGTATTCCAAATGTTATGGCCAAACATCCACATTATTTTTCCTCGTTTTCAAAACAACATTTTTTTAAATATCAAAAATCAATCATTGATGTTGCCATTCTGAGCAAGTGGAATCCTAGTATGTTGAATAATCACATGTAGTTTGATGGAGGTGAACGTATTATTTACTGTTGATTTGCAGCTTGTCATTTTCATTTAACTTCTGTGAATATATTTAATTATATGTGGCAAGAGAACGGTTGAGACATCGGGTCATTAAAATGCCGTATAGTTTTATATGAATACGTGCAATAATAATAAAAGTCAGTGCATCTTTTTCAAGTCAGTTTTTCCATAATTTCTGTTCATGGACCAGAGGATGCAGATCTAAGGGCACAAAATTTCCATGAAAATTAGAAGTCAAAACGATAAGTGTATGAATCACGTGGCTCAAAACATCAGGGTCAGGCTCAGGGAAAGAGCTGTTTTGTCTTGTTTTCTGCTCTGGTGGAAATCAGGTCCCGGTTAGCCTGAATGGAAGAAGACTCGCCCTGCCCTTTGGGGTAGGAAGACCTGTTCCAGCGCTCCTGCTTTCCTCATCCACCGGTTGTTGAGAACGGACAGTCGCTGAACTTAAGAGACCCAAGTCCTTGCTGGAAATGCATGTCCTCCTGAAGACAGGCCTTCCCTGAGAGATCTCCTTTTCATAGGCCCTTTGGTTCAAGTTTTTGAAACACAAACAGGCTGTCTTCTTTCTGGAAGTTTTCATGGTGTAGAACCTGAAGCTGTGGCCCTGTCCACATCCTTCTGCTTCCTTCCCAAGTTCATCCCCACCCCTGCCCTCATGGCACTGGATGGTGTGAAGGGTCACAGTGGCAGAACTGGGTGG